CAGCTGATGTGAACAGTCTGGAAATGGCCCCAGGGTTGTCACTGTCATAAATTAACTGGGGGTGGTTTACACATTGTAAAAATAGCTAGGCTTTATTTTCGAAGTCTTTTTCATTCTTTGAGAACAAACTAAAATGCCTCCTCCTCCATGAAGCCTTTTCAGATGTTCTTTACTTCCTTCCAACTTGCTCATTAGACAGTTGCAGCGACCTGTCTCACTCGGCCCAGTATCTGGATGTTCTAGACCATGACATCCCCGAGAAGAGAGAACACAGTTCAAAGAGCATGGCTTTTGAACAGCCTCAAAAACAGGTACCATCACCTATGAACCCTTGGACAAGTTATTTAACTGAGCCACACTCTTCGTCTTTAAATCGGGATGAGGATGCTTCCTTGTAAGGCACTTATCAGCATTAAATGAAAAAACATGTACGGAGTACTTAGACCGGTCCCTGGTAAATAATGTGTGCTTAACAAATGTCAAATAACTCCTCTTCATCATCTGCATTCTCTGAAAAGCCCTGCATACCGCCTTGCAAACAGCGAGTGCTTAATAAATGTCACGATTGGGCTGCAATAAACTGCTGAATCACCCTCTTGTCTGTTTGACTTCATCTCACATTAGATTCAACCAGGAAATTAACATGCAATGACACCTACCAAGTGATTACTGTTTCTGTCTTTTTCAAAAAAATTAAGATGGACTCTAATATTGACATTTATTTTTCTATGTTTATTACATATGCAAGAAACCATTTGTCTAAATTGGTATCACACTTGCTGGAAAACATTTTGCCCATTTCTCAGAAGACTTAAAAGACTAAATTTTCAAGAAAGGATCAAATTTTTGTTAGCTTTCCTGCCCCAGAAGTAAAATGTCAGTGTGGAAGCTTACCTTTGCCTCTTTCTCGCCACCTTCTACCCGGCCATCAGCAGCCCCTCTCTCTGGCACTCAGGTCTCTCCCCCTTCCCCACCTGCATAGCCCTCTAAGGGCACTAACTGGGCAGCAACCCAGTTTCAAACTTCTTTCACTTCCTCCGCATCCTCCTGTGTTCCAGGCCCTCAGGACTTTTCTATCTGCTAGCTGATCCGATACACCAATCCAAGATGCTAATGGTTTCTGAGAATTTATAGTAGCTCTTTCCTAGGTAATATCATTGCATTTTATGAGGGATCTACTAGACAGAATTACTTTATTCAGATAAATGTCTCTAATAGTAAGAATTTCAGATCCTATGTTGGCCAATGGACAAATGCTTTGAACTCGGGGAGGTTTTGCCCTCCTGAAATCACTTTATAGGCCGCTACCTATAATGTACTTGCCCTTAACCACAAACACATTCCCTTCACTTCAGACGCCAGTCAGGGCTTTTATCCTTCCACATCTTCTCCTCCTTCTGCTGCAATTGGCTAGAAAGTTTCAGGTCAAGAGAAAATGTGATTCTCTTGAACCTTTGTCGGTCTTATTACTTACTACACTCCCTTGGCCAGGCAGCTCAAAGGACAATCACAAATGTAGATATAAAACACCCAGGGTTCAGGACAGAGTTGTCAGCAAAGAGCCTACAAAAAACACGTGAGGCAGCAAGAGCTGAGAGCAACTGTCTTCCAAGTTGAGTCAACACAGTGGAAAAAGTTGTCTGATCTCCTCATTTGTGTTCTGAACTCCTCTTAATGAAAACAGACCAGTAAGAGTAGTTTACCCCAGGAGTCTCCAGTTCAGAAAATGTGCTGTTCGATTTATAAACCCTACTGAGAACCCAATCATTGATTAGTTTAAGTCTTCAAAGTACGTGTTGTCTAAAATATATTTGGTGATGTGTATGTGTGTGCGTGGGAGGCTGAGGAAGGAGGGAGGCAGGAAGAGAGAGAGAGAGAGACAGAGCAACACAGATACAGAGAAGAGAGAGGATCTTTTGGAAGAGAAAGAAAGAAAACTGAAAATAATCCCACTGCACTTAATGAGGCCCCATCGGACTAGCCCTGAGACCAAATCAAAATCTCAGAGGCAGACTCTGAAAAGCTCACATTCCCAGAATTCAGTCCATCCCAATGGGTCAGAAAACACCTGACATTTACTTCCACTAAATCTCAAGTATGTCTCCAGGGGATAGACATCCCTGTGTTCAGAGAGAAAATTGGAAACAGCTACTTCAGCAACCCACTGGCTTGGTTAGCCACAATTACTGCTGAGAATTAGAACTGAGTGATGGGCACCTTGGGGAGTTCTAAGCGATGTTAGATGCAATTCTGGAATCTAAGGAAAGCCAGGGAGAATATTTGCCACAAGAGGGAGCAGTAGAATTTGGTCAGATGGGAGATTATTTGGTAGAGCTTATGACGAGGGGTCTATCTATAAGGCATGGACGATATTGGAAGATATTTTGGCAAGAGACATTTATTGCTTAGAGGAAAAAAAAAGACAATGAAAAGATCAGGAAGAAGAGAGAGATGATGCCACCTAGATTCCTTAGTTCTTAGCAAATGTAGAACAACCATTTAATTTTTAGTTAAAAGCAACATATATAACACACTGCAAAAATATAAAACATGCAAGATATGTGCTCTGCCATCCTCTTTTAATTGTGTACTTCTTTTTCCAGATTTAATTTCTATTTCAGTTTGAATGCTGTTTATTTCCATGCTGACGGGGCAGACTGCTTGCTTTTACCTACATGCTCTTCTCCCTCTGCCTGAAGCATCACGGAGAAAGGGCTCCTCTCACTGACCTGCAACATGAAAATCAGATGGGAAAGTCCTAAAATGCACTTACTTTGGGACAGACACATCCACCAGCTAATGAATGCTTTAACTTGCTTTAAAGAGGGAATGCAACTTTCCTGGATCTGCAGAGCTTCTCTCATCATTTATTTTGTCAAAGAAACAGATTAAGCATTTAGAGGGAAGGAACAATGCGTTTACTTTGCAAGACAAACAAAAGTCTAATTTTGTCTGATAAAAAACATGTTAAATATAGCTTGCTAACAAAATGCTGAAGCTCTCTTGGAATTTCTTTTTTTCCCAAAACATAGAAAGCGTGAAAGACCAATTAATGTAATTCCTGCAAATAGTCCCGTAGGTGTTACTGACTATACTTCACCTTCCTTTTGCAATTTTATTTGGAGTTAAAGCACTGCTACTACTATGCACGTTTCTTCCCTTTCATGGTCAAAAAAAGGGTTATCTAGTTCTTAATCTTAATCCAAAATGGTACAGTAGAAACCATTAAATGGTAATGGTAAAGTAAATGGAAATATAGAAGGATAGAGAGGTAGGTATACAGATAGGTAGCTATAAAGCACAGCCTTCGTATTCTTTTTAATTCATTACTCTCCTCTTCCAGCCCTGTTAAGCTTTCACGACAGAGTAAATGAAGTCTGCTTGCCATGGACACTTACATCCTTTGCAACCCCTGCACAGCTCAACAGTGAACAACGGTTTACCTCTGTCCAGTTCTTTTCTTTTCCCCTAGGAATTAATCATTCCATATTTAATAAAAGACAACAGCCATTTTAGAAAAAAAAAATCAGGGCTCCTTTTATAGTAGGTGGGAGAAATCTTAGCTAAAGAGCCCTTGGCTCCAAATGCAATCCTCCAAGCAGGCAGAATTTGTAAGATGAAACCCATTTAAGAAACCACATCTTGCTTCTTGGTGAAATAAGTAGGTCTTCCCCCACCTTCTCACTCACAAGGCCCCAAAGATGGAGCTAGCTCTCTCTTCCTTCCTCCTCCTTTCACATCCGCCTAACCTTCCCAATTAAGCAAGTTTAGACAACCAATAGAGCTAAATCCAAGTAACACAGGATTTGAAAGAGGAACTTGAAAGCAATCATCCCTATTCCAGCTTTGTTTTCTTATCTGAAATGAATGAAACATCTAGATACATCTTCCTCCCTCCTTTCCTGACTTGCAGCAGGAGTAGCTTTGAGAGAGAGAGAGAAAATGTGGGAGTGTATGTGTGCGTGTTGGGGGGCGTAGGTGGGAGGTATACCTTCAGAATCCCCTCCTGGTCGCTCCCCATTTCCCTTAGGACATCTTCACAAGGATGCTGGATTGTGAATCTTCTGTTGCTCATATTCGGAAATACTCAAGCTATGCCTTTAACCAGATCTGATCAGAATTCCCTCCTACTCTGCCAGCTCCTCCATGATCGGGACGCCTGTACTGTCTTTACCACATCTGTCATTTTTTAAAAAGCTTCTTCCACTACACCTCCTACTGATATCCTTTTTTCTCTTTTTAGTCTTTACACCTCCAGCAGGACAAAGTTTGTATTGTTATATTCACAACCACTAGTGGCTGACTAGCAGGAGAGAGATGGAGAGCACCAGCCGGGGAGCCAAGCTAAAGGGGGTTAAAGAGAAACCTAGTGGAAAGCAGGACTTTCTTTCCAATGACTGCGGACACCACGCACACTGCTCTCTTCGAAAAATGTTTTGTTAAATTGGTCACTCTGCTCTCAACCCAACCGCTGCCACTTTGTCTGGAGAGGGAAATACGAATTGTCAGCCCAAGCCATTCATCAAACAGTCGACAGAATCCACGGGGGAGGGGGGATTTTAAAAATCAAGGATGCACACACACGGTATTTTTAAAAGCATCGCCTGGGCAGGTTTGGTTTCTTTAGCTGACTGTCCACCCATAAGACCTCCCTCTTCTTTAAGGAGGAGCCAAGAAGGATATCCTCACATCTCAGAACACAGACCATTTTCCCAAGAGCCAGCAAAGCTCCAGAGGCAGATAATGCAGCTGCAAAGTTCCCTTCGAATCTCTTGGGGAAAGATGCCTGTGCGTGCAGAATCCCCAACGCACACCCCAGCATCGTGCCCAGAAACAGGGACCCTTCAGCCCACTCCCCCGCTGCGTTTCTCCCCTGCCGGTCCCCCCCTGCCCCGGCCACACCTCCCTCCTCTCCGCAGTCTTTGGTGAAGGAGCACCCAGCGCTCGCCAGAAAAGAGGGGACTCGCAAGTGTGGCGTTGGGGGAGACCCCAGGGATTACCAGGAGGAGGGATGACCGCAGAGCAGAGTCCAGTGGGTGGGGAGGCCTGGATCCCCAGCAGCGCTGCATTCCGGATGGACTTAGCTCTTCGCGCCCCGAATCCTCAGAGCCCAGCGCGGTGCAGGGTGCAGCATCTCTCCTTAGCAGCCCTTTCTTCTACCGGCAGCCGGCACTGGCAGGCAGGCACGCTCACGCCCAGGCGCACCAGCCAGAGCAATTTCACTCCCCGAGAAGCGCGGACACCCCAAAAAACGTGTAGGGACACACACAGAAACACATACCATTTAGGAACCGGTCCTTTGCCAAAGCGGGGTAAGAGTAGCCTTATGAACAATAAATGGAAAATAGTTGGCGGTGTCTGACCAAATCCCTTCTGCTTGCCCATCATAGGATCCTACCTGGTTTGGGGGAGTGTGGATGGATCCTTCCCCCGTTCCTCCACGCGAGGAGGAACTGCCGCGCGCTCCCTCCTTTTAAATAGCTCCAGATCAGGAAGAGGTCGCTCCCATCTTCGGGGGGGAAGCACAAAGCAGGCGGCGGCGGGCAGGCTCCCGTGCAGCGCCGGCGCGAGCAGGAGCTGCGGCGGCGGCGGCGGGCAGCCGGTGCGCGCGGGCGGGAGGCAGGCGCGGAGGCCGGGAGGCTGGGAGGGCCGGGGCCCGGGCGGCGCGCGCGCTCCCCGCCCTCCCGCCCGCGCACACTCGCCCGCCCGCCGCTCACACGCGCGCTCGGCCCCGCGGCCGCCGCGACCGGCGCGTCCCGGCGCCCCTGGCCCCGGGCGGCCGCATGGGATAGAGCGGGCGCGCCTCTGGAGCACCGAGCGGCTGGGGCGCTCTTGCAGCCTCCCAGCCTGTGCCGCTGAGCTTTTTCGGTTTGCCCCCGGCTCCCGGCCCTGCAGTGCGTGCTGGCCCCGCGCTAGCGCTCTTTCCAGCACCCAGCCCTTCGATGGCACGCGCAGACGGGCACTGCAACTTTTCTGGTCAGCCTTCCTCGCCTCACCCACAGACAGAACCTCAACCCCAATTCGCCTACCTGTTTCTCACCTCTGAAATTGTCAATCCAGATACATCTTTCTTCCTCCACTTTCTAGCCCCCTGCTAATGGAAGCTCTCTTTGAGCAAAGAGATCTGAGGATTTCTCAGTGATTTTCTCTGAAATCCTCACTCCGTGTTTTTCCTGCATGTCAGACATGCATAGCAATACGCTGGCTAGTAGCTGCTGATACAAGCAGATAAGGATATGGGGGTTGGGGGAGAGGTATTCCCCAGCCAAGAACTCAGAGAGATTCTCCGTGTTGGTATTTCCCTCAAAGATTGCAGCTCACCTGGGAATACAGACCATGAGGCTGTTTAACGTGAAAGCCGTGCAGCTTTTAAACTACAGAGAGGAGTAAAAGCTGAGCATTAAGGTTGAGTTGGGACAGATCTAATGCAGCAATCGACGAACCATTCATTGCCCTTTCCAAGAGAAGCATTATCATTGCCAATACATCACTTCCCCATAATTAATAAAGGAGCATTGCATCAGGCCCTTGCTCTCTTGACAGCTCATTCATCTTTACAAATCCTTAATGACTTGGCAGGCTGAGAGGCTAGACCTACTGTGGAGTTCACAAACCTGGATGCACATCAGTCACACCTGGGAAGCTTGTTAAAAATGCAGATTTTAGCTTCCAGTCTTGAGACTCTGATGTTGTTGCTTTCAAGTGGGACTCACAAGTTTGTATTGTTAAAGCACCAGTTGATATTCACCACTGGTGTGGTTAGCCCAGGTGTGCAGGATCAGGGGTAGCTATGTGGGGAAGGTGGGAGAAGGAGGGAGCTGCGGAGCATTAGGCAGAAAGTTAATTCCTCAGTAGGATTCTTCCCCCCCCCCGTACTTACAGTGCAGCTCTGGGGCCTCCAGGCCGTAGGAGAAGAGAGACTCTGCCTCCAGGAATCCCACTGTTTGACTATAAGGTGAAGAGGGGAAATGAAAGTGGCCTTCTGCTGCCTCTATGCCGGTGGCTCTCGACCTTGAAGGCGCCTCAGAATCTCCTTGGGAGCTTTTAAAAACCCCAGCGCTTAGGTCACACTCCAGACCGATTAACTCGGAATCTCTGGGGGTGGGACCCAGGCATCAGTAATTTTTTTCATGTTCCCTGGTTAGTTCCTATGCATAACCAAGGTTGAGAATCACTGTTCCAGGTCAATACTCCTCAAACACGAATGTGCCTATGGATCACGTGCACATTGTGGGTTCTTATGCAGTCGGGCTGGAACAGGCCTGGGATCTGCATTTCTAGCAAACTTACAAGTGATGTCGATGGGGCCTGCATGAGGACCACACTTTAATGAGCGAGGGTCTGTTGCGTCCATCTGGTGGTTGTGGACACTCAGCTTGCTGGAGGAAACTCCAAGCTGCTTCTTGTCTTGTATATTCCCAGGAATCATTCCTCTCTAAGAACATTTTCCTTTCCTCACTGTGAGTTAAATTTTCTTGGAAGACACTCTCCACACAAACTTTTTGTTAGACTGCACTGACTAGTGGGTGTAAACAGAATGACATGTGGGGAGACACAGAAGGTCACCATCTCTCTGTTAGAGTGCATCCTCAGCCAAGAATTACTTAGGGTCCTGACTTCAACGGAGTGCAAGAGGCAGACATTTGGCTCACATTCAATGGAAGGGGCTTGGACAGAAGCGTCAGCTTTCTAAATGACACTGAGAAAAGCGTATAACTACATACTCCACCCATAGGAAATAGGACAAAGCTAAGTGAAGGAGCTGAGTGAAAGAGCTAAATGAAAATGTGAGTGGACTACATCTCATTGGGATAGATTTTGTGGAAAAGGTGTGGCCCGTTATTGCTATTATGGACCACTTAGGAAAACTCAGGTTTTCTTGAGAGCGTAATCACGCTTGTGACCTGAGGTGACAAGAGTCCTGTTCTTTTTTATTTATTTGTTCATTTTTTCGATGAAGATTAGCCCTGAGCTAACATCTGCCAATCCTCCTCTTTTTTCTGAGGAAGACTGGCCCTGAGCTAACATCCGTGCCCATCTTCCTCTACTTTATATGTGGGACGCCTGTCATAGCATGGCTTGCCAAGTGGTGGCATGTCCGCACCTGGGATCTGAACCAGCGGACCCCAGGATGCCAAAGCGGAACGTGCACACTTAACCGCTGTGCCACCGGGTTCGGCCCCTAGAGCCCTATTCTTAAACGTCTGTATTCCAGTGGTGCCAAAAGCCCATCTTCTGAGCAGCTGAGAAGGCACTAAGGCTACCTCTTGGTCCTCTTTATTCCTCATCCTTTCAATCTAGACTGATACATAGGTTAATTTAAATTCTCGGGGGGAAAATCTACATTAGATGGTCCTCCCTTTACCTAGAACTATTAAAAGGCAGCCTCGTGCCTATTAATGTGGCACCCTTTTTGTTTTGGCTCAATTTCTGAACCCCTAACTTTTTTTTTTTTCCTTTCATTTCTCATTAAAGGCATCTTTAAAAGGGTTGCAGGGCCCCAAGGCAAATCAAACCTTTTGCTCCCTCCTAAATGTCATACATGGCTGGATTTTTATTGCAAGAATTGTCAAAGGCTACATCGCTGGCACAAGGCTCTAGGTAAGGAAATGGTGAGGCTGCTGCAGGCTATGCTTTGGAAAGAAGAAATATTATATGTAGGAAGGTGGTGATTTACATTCCAATGGCAACAGTACTTCTTAATTGTAGTCTTGAATACTGATTGCCATTCTTTCCTTGGACTTGAGACTCAGAGCTATGGGTCTCCACTGATATCTATCCAAAGCAGTATGCCTTGGCCACTCTGGGAACTCCTGGGTATATCACTAAGATTTGACACACGTGTTCTAAAGACTGTTCAGATTCTAATGAACTGTTTCCCTGAAGACCTTCAGGGGTCTCTTAGTAAACTCATTTTTAGCTCAAGTGACGATGTTGTGAATTAGGCTCTAGTTTTTTTATCCAGTCTACAGAAAAATCAGACATGTGATCAAGGGTACCCTCAATTTTTAAAAGTATTTTACTAAAACACCCAGTAATTTTCATCATAGGGAAAACAAGTATTTTATTGTAATTCCTTACATTTTCACTTTGAATTGCTTAGGTCAGAGGTACCGCTACTGTCTTTTTCAGTGGTGGGGCTTCTTAAGTGTGTTAATGTAGAATTATTCATTCTCCACCTCATTTCCTATTCTGCCAGTCTTCACCACTCAGCAATCTGCTCATTCTTGGGCTCAGTCTGATACTGATTTTTACATAAGAAAAAGTAGTATAGCGCCCAGCCCAGCCAGCAAGAGGAGTTTAGCATTAGCTATTTTCCCACACCTAGAACCTCAGGTGGACTGGTGGGCCAGTTTTTCTTTGCATTGATTGGATCCAGGGATTTTCGCTTCAGGGGTGACTATGGGGATTTTTTGTTGACTTCTAAGTGCCAAGGTTCCTCCTCCCTGGGTTCTTGTTCCTGCAAGTAAGATTTACTTCTCTGTTTTGTTTTGATGGTTGAGCACCACCCTTAAACCCCATCTCCTAAGTGGGCCCAGCTGCTGGGTGGGAGCAGTTTCCTGGTAGACTCACAGTTATAACCCATCCTCCCCTGGGCTCCATCGCTGTGGGGTCACCCACTTCCTCTGAATTTGTCACAGTCTTTGGACACCAGGGGCCTGCACTTCTGCATTTGAGCAACTTATAGTTGACGGTTGGACTTGTACAAAATCCTGACACTTTCATTTTTCATTTCTGCTCCTTATTACATGAAGGACATAATCTAGTCTGTATCCCACAACCTTACCAATGGTGAGGTTACCAATGAGTAATTCAGTGGCAGAATCATTGTTTAGAGCAACCGGTAGGTCAGAAAAGAACAGAAACTGGTTAGAGTTAAGGCTTTGGAGTCAGAATATCTGGGTTTGAATCTCACCTCTGGCTGTGTGAACTTGGGGAAGTTCCTTAAACTCTCTGAGTTACAACATCCTTGTCTGGAAAACCAGATCATAGAATCTCCTTCAAGGAGTTATAGGAAGAATAAAATGTATGTAACATGCTTGACATAGTTCCTAATCACATCAATAAATGATGTTGTTATTACTATGATTGGTAAAGTTCCACAAAAATGATATCCATAAAGAAAACAAAGTTTCTATATCATTAGGTTCTACATAATCAGGCCCTTTCATTATCGATAATGATTATACTATTATTTTTGTTATGCAGAATTCTATCCAGTGAATAATCCAGGACAATGGATGCCTCTAGAGTACGAGAGTACTTTCTCTGTAATGAAAGAAGCTGCTTGTGATTTTGTAAGTACAGAGTGTGGTTACATGATTGATTATGGGGAACACCATATTCTTGCTAGATCACAATATTTCTTTTCC